CTAATATCTTCAACCCCCTTCTATTAGTCACACGCGAAACAGCAACATATAATTGACCATGACTAAAGACAGGCTTCTTTAGAAAAAGACCAACGTGGGATAAAGACTGTCACTGACTCTTGTTTATGGTCATGGCATACGAAACCATAAGTGGGAATTGCCGCTGAAACTTAAATGGAACCCTAAGATCAGAAGGAGTAATATTCATTCTAGGAATCAACACTGTGTCGCCAGCATGATCACCAGTCAATATCTTGCATTCAAGACAAAAAAACAATAGGCTTGGATCATCCATATTTCACATATTTTAATAAGTTGTGTTTATTTAAGCCAAAAAATTAACATGTTAATTAATATATAATTCCGCTAACACGTCATACTAATATTTATTTGATTATAGAATACATATTTATCCATTAATATAAGAAAAAATAAAAAAATTTATTAATTATTGTTCTTCATATAATACTCATTTATTATTTTATTATAAAATTTACAGTCATATAATGTAATTATTATTATTTATAAAAGTTATAGAAGTAGCCTTCTTTATGTAATGAAATTCAAAATAAAATTTTGAGTATAAATGTTTACCAAATACACACACATGTTTTTTAGAATTCAATTTTCTCATAATAATTATTTTTTTCATCCTAAGGCTTTATAGTTTATTTAACATACTATGCAATAGAAAAATATTTTACAATAAGTTCATTTTTGAAACATAACAAAAAAAAAGTGATAAAAACACTATCATAGTTGACAATAATATACAAATAAATAACATGTCGAAATTTTAAAGAATAACTAATATAATTTTATTATCTAACCATCAATAAAATCATTTAATGATGTGATCGTTATCTTTTAAATAATAAATAATATTAATTTTTTAAAAAAAATATTAGTGTTATATAATTAAATAAAGGTTAAAAAATACTGCTCGACAAATATTAATTATAATGGATATCAATAAAATCATTGCATAAATTATTTAAGGAAAAAATCTTTAAGATCATATTTGGATAGTAAATGTAAATATGCAAGCATTTAATGCATATAGTAAAAAATTTCCAAATAAAGTATGCATTAAATGTGTGTTGACTTTTCTTGCTACTGTTTTTGGTAAATAGGTTGGCTTTTAATATATATATAGATTTTAAGTTACCTGCATTGAAATCAAGTAATATGTAATATTCTATTAAACAAAAAAAAAAGAATTGTTCAGCTTTTTTTAACGATATTTTTCATTATTCATATTTAGAAGCGACTAATGGTTCGACGGAAAAAGTGTTTATTTTATATTAATAGTTGTTAGTGTATTTTTTATGTTTAATTTTGTCGCTTTTTTTTCGACTTATTTATTTATTAAATGGATTCAAGTGTTATGATATATTTATGGTTCATTTTCAAAATTTTGGAATAATTATATGGACGATGATACGTTAAAAAATAAAATAAAAATTGGGGTGTTGGGTACTTAAATACCAACCTTTTTTGATGGATACATATATACATCTATATCTTTATCTTTATCTATATAAAGAAAATAAATGTTTACTAAAAATAATAGTTAAAAAATCTGGGAACTTTTAATACATTTAATTTTTGAAAATTTTTAAATATATGCATTAATTGATTGCATATACACATTTTCAAATCAAATCAAACCAGACATGATCAAAAATATTCTTTCCTTAAGATTATCAACATCTGCTTCATTGATATTCATTATAAAAAACTAAAGGTTAATCGTGATTCATGTTGATAATATTTTGGTCAAAATAAATATGAAAAACATATTTTAAGTTCTAGATGATATAGGATTCCGGACCCTGGTCGAAGAACCCAATAAACCGGCAAACCAAGCCATGTGAACCGGCTAGTCGAGCATCGCAGCATGAAGGACGATGGTGGTCAAACACTACCAACGCAGGACCAGGAGTCTTCAGATCAAAGACAGCGCAAGGGGTGCAGGGAGACAATGACAAGTCGAGCTAGGGCCCTCGGATGGCCTGTTTGTAACTCGACCTGTATATATATGGCCGGTCGTATGATTGACCTGAAAGGACAACACTTGGTCTTAGAACATGCAACGATCTACCTCAACAGACCTCCAGCTAGTTGCACCATTAGGTAGTCTAATGGAAAGACCAAGGGATAAGAAGGAATCTTAAGGGGTTAAGAGCCGCACGTGGATAGGGCCATGTGACATAACAGAATTGGGAAGTTCGAGCAAATCGGGAAGTTCGGGCTGTACTATCGGGCTATTTGGGCAACCCATCCAGCCAGTCTTGGACAACAAGGTATCATCTTCCTATATATGGGAGTGAGGTATATCCATTATCACATTACACTTTCTATCATTCCAAACACTGTTTTCTACACTTCATCTTCTACAAGTGCTCATTTAAGCATCAAAAGTTCTTCACCATAAAACCCTTCTGTTTGAGAGTTTTTGCAAGTTCGCAGGCGATCTACGGGCGAGAAAGCTCG